GCCCGGCCCGGCGAGAAAGCCTTAATTGGTAAAATCGCCCAGGAGTCGGGGGCGGGGGTGCGCGGCGAGCTCGACCGCCCGGGCCACACTGGCGACGCCGCCCCCCTCCCTGGATGAGCTCACCACCCCGCGAGGGCCGCCAGCACGGGCCTGAGGGGGCGCCCCGCGCTCTCGAGGGGTCTGCAGAGCCCATGCCGGCTTGATGAGCGTTGAAGAGCCAAGTGCTCTCCAACCGCAGAAGCCCAGCTCCAAGGCCACCTCCTCCAGGAAGCCCCCCAGGGTCAGCCTTTGCCCCAGTCCTGGGCTGGCAAAGCAAGTCGTTTCTGCTGCCCTGGAGGAGGAGGGGCAACGGGCAGTGCGGGTGTTCACCGAATGCCTACTACCTCCGGGGCTGCATTGGGGCTGGACTGGGGCAGTCATGAGGCCTGCTCTTGTCATCCCAAAGCCACCCCATGGATCCGACCCTGGAGCAGGCCCCTGAAGCGGGATGGATTCTCAGGACCCACCCCCACCCGACTGAGGCAGCAGGGTGCAACCACGGAGCCTGTGTCTGTGGCCGGGTGGGCACAGCCACACCCTGGCTCACCATGCTCCTTCCTCTTCTAGGTGCCATTGCCTCATAGCTTCAGATATAGATCAAATGTCACTTCCTTGGGGAAGGCCACATAAAGCAGTGTCTTTTTAATATTTTTGCCCACAAACCACACAGTACTTTACATCCTGAGCCAATATATGCACATGTGCGCACACGCTCTACACACAGAACAGAAAGAAACGATTCAACAAGATAGGACTTCCCCTCACCACCTACCAAACACTCCAATAGTTTGTATTCTGCTCCACTTCCTTAAAAAGGGGAGAAGGGAGGGAGGGTGGGAGGAGGGAGAAAGAAAAGAAGGAAAGGAGACTGAAGGGAAATGGTGGGAAGGGAAGAGGGCGGGAGGGAGGCAGGCAGGAAGAGTCCTTTGGCCCAACCTGCTACACGATGTCGCGAAGCACCCACAGAGAGGCACCGACAGTCCTCCAGGCCTCGAGGCCTTGGCTAGCTGTGCGTGCAGTGGCCTTCACCCTGACCTTCAGTAGGTGCTGCCTAACAGTGCCAGGAGCTCCCTGTCCCCGCCCCCTCCTGTGGGAAGGCAGTGGGTTACCTTGACTTGATAGGTGAGGGGCCTGCACTCTGAGATGGAAATTCGAAGCAGGTGGGGACTGTGCCGCACCCTGGCAAGTCAGTCCATCCATCCATCTGTCCTGGAAGAAAACCGGCGAGGCCTCCTGCAGCTGCAATCGGAGCCAGGGGCACAAGAGGTGGAGGGTGCACAGAGAAGGCATTGCTTTCTTAGGGGAGTGTCCGGACTCTCCCACCTCCGTTTGAAAGCTCTCTTTACAGTACTGCCTGCCCCAGTCACACACAAGTGCGCACACACACCAAGCACATGCAACTGTGTCTCCGCTGCTTCCAGATTATTCCAGGGTAGAATGAAGGCTTCGTCGTACAGCTGCAGGTGTCCCCTGGCGGACACCCTA